GACAGCCATTCAAGTTCTTTGTTACTTTTCTTTTTTCCTATAAAATCGTGCTCCCACACATATGNTGAGCAGTATTGTAAATAACATCCATAAAATTCGACAGCTATAGTTCCTTCGAGAAAACCATCTTCATATCGGTTCAGTATCTTAACTTCACCGATTGCTCTTCTCGAATGTTGAATATTGTGACCTGAAATTAAAATTTTTAAAGAATGACAGAATACGTTATCTATAAAAAAATTAAAAACTAGACTTCTTACCGCGTTTAAATTCCCTGAAACCTAGCCATTCTAGGGCTAATTGTCTTGCATTAATATTCTTTACGTATCCATTTTGAGGAATTATGGCTATAGAGAGGGTAGAATAAACTCTCATACATGCGGCTGCGATGGTTATTTGCAGAAAGGGATCCATACGAATCATTTTTATAAAGTCTTCTCGAAATGTAACACAGCAACGCCTTAATATATCTACATCTGATCTGAAACTGATTAATAAAACACATTATTTATCAATTAGAGGATATTTCAACAAAACGTTGAAGGATGTGAAAACTCCTCCTTTTATACCACAGACTCCTTTTGTCGATAACTATACCAGTTGAAAAAGTTAATTCTATCTTTGTTAATCTCTTATTGTAAATTCGGGTTCAATTATGGAATTTAATGGTCTATGACACAAAAATTGGGCGGGTGTTAAAATCACGAAATCGGCTGCAATGACAGATAATGGACAGAGTGGACATGAGTTCAGAATTCCTTCAATTTGAGTTATCACCGTAAGAAATTCTTCTAAGGTTAAAGTCGCTCCTCTGACAGCTCTTTTAAAATGATACTTAAAAGATTTTATTGCTGCTTCACACAAACCCATTAATCGAGCTGATATGATAGGCTGTACCTTAAAGCATGTTATACACTCATTAACTATTTTGCGACACAATGTACGACCGATATGCAGGGTTCATGATAGATTCTAAATAGAGTCGACCGTTTCATAAAAAATTATCTGATGTTAATCATAAAAAATTATCTGATTTAAGATGACTTAAGACTGTTCGTTCAAAATATTTATCTGCAAACTCTATTAGGTTCGCTATATTCATGGGTTTTAACTCCAGCGTTAACTCGTGGCAATCGGTGGACAATTGTATAATCATTTTCAGTATATATATATTATCACATCATGACGAGGGTAGTTCTTTGCGATTCTGTCAATATTACGATAAAAGTATTGTTCCCCCCCCCCTTAGATTTGACGTTTATTTGGTGTAATAATTTTTAATATTTTATTTAATACACTCTTGTGTCCACTTCTCCACATTTAGTAGAAATCCAATTAATATCATGTTGGAGACAGTTGTCCTTTTCTTTGTCCATTTTGAGCTTATGTCAGACTTTTTATGCATATATAATTTTTTGGCGTGTTCGATCATCTGAACTCCTTTTACTAGGGCCAAACGCAGCTTTTTGTCTCGAATACCCAAAAAAACTTCTTCTTACAACATGCATATGACCTATATGGAAAAATTACCAAATGTTAAATCCAAGGATGAAAGTCTCCCTCCTACTGTGATACCTCCATCAGAGTCAAGAAAGGGGCTTAATATTTGTAACTTACTTTTTACCACCACACATCCACTTTTTTCAGCAATTTTATGTCTTCTGCAAACTCCTCATGTTGGACCATCTTCACTAAAGCAGTTTCAGCTTCATTAATCTCGGATACACTTAAAGTTCCAGAAATCCTTTGCAATGGACATCTTAGGTTGTTGATGAATCTAGAAATATAACTAAGAATACGAATAACAATTAGGTCACTGACAAAGTCAATAGTACTGAAGTTTAGCACTAAATTAGATAACTATTTACACTTAGAGTTTCTATTTTCGGAATTAAATTCCTCACAAGAATTAGTCTGTTAGGATAAACACTGTCCGATAGAAATTTAGGACCCTTAAACCATAAGTCATTATGCATGAGTTTATCCGGTTCCACACCTCTTGACAGGATTTTGGTCTGAAGTCACATGATCCCACTGTTGAATTGACGTGTTCTCCTGGATTGTAGCCACTCTGTTCTGAACAAAAGTCTCTAAGTCAATTGGGTCTTTTTGTATCCATGCCAGTACAATCATAGAATCTGTCCATAAATAGATTATAGTCTCTATTTTGATAGCTGTTAGAACTCTCTTTACTAACTTGGATAAAAGCGCTGCCGCATAAAGTTCAAGTTTGTGTATTGTAAGGCTTTTAATTTGTGCAACCCTGGACTTGCTTGTAATTAGCGTTATCATTGTTTCTCCAGACGAATTCGTAGATTTTAGATAATTCACTGCGCCATAACATCGTTCTGAAGCATCTGAAAAACCATGGATCTCAATCCTAATTGGTGTCGTAATAACTATTAGTCTCTCAATCTTAATATAGTTCACGTTTTCCAGTTCACACAAAAACTGGTGCCATTCCTCAAATTCTGCTGTTGGTAGAGGATCTGACCCGTCTATATTCAGTTTCCACAGTATAAAGATGACATGTCCCTGTTTCTAAACTTGTTTCAACGACAGCTTACCTTTTTAAAAGTGGCAAAGGATAATTGGGTAGCATATCTTCTCGGCGTTTTGCCTAATGATATAGCTCAACTTATTGGTAGAGAAGCGGAAGAAAAAGCACAAGATTTTAATTATATCAAAGAAATATTTCTGAAAAGATTTAAGTTAAGTGTAGAAAAGCTTCGACAGTTGTATGCCACTCACAGAAAAACACCAGAGAAAACTTGGATAGATTTTGATGATCGTCGATCAAATGAAGAAAAGAATTCCTCCAGAAGCTAAAGAACACAAGAACACTTCTTAGATGTCAGGTGTGAATGGAAAACGCCTGAGGATTTAATTGAGATAATGGATATGTATGAAAATCTTTGATTAAGCAAAAAATATTTGCAGAAAACAAGTACAAAAAAGAAGCTTAATTTGAAAATAACAGAACCACAAAGACTTTATAATCAAAACAAGTTTTCGCGTTGAGTTACAATATGACCAGAAATTTAACATGCATCTTTTCAGACAAGAAAATAGGCGAGATACTGGATTTCAAAGTCATAAGAAGCAGGACTTTTCTTACTATGAGAGAACTCCGCAAAGAAATGATTTTATGTATGATGATCAACATCATTAACTAAACGACAGATTTCAAGAGAGCAGAACTGGTAGAAGGTGCTATGGATGTGGAGAACCTGGCATAATTAAATCTCGCTGTCCTAAATGCAATCCATCTAGCACAAACTGTTCTCCCCGTCTTTTTCCAGTCATGTGTTGACGAATCATCACAATTAGCTATATTGAATATAACAGTAAATGGACACTTAGGTACTGCATGTGCTGACAGTGGAGCAAACAATTATATTGCTAGAGAACGGTTGCATCAAATTCTCAAGCGTGAAGGTGCAGACTTTCAAGAGACCCAACTAACTATGACACTTGCTGACGGAGAAAAACGACAAGTGGAAGCCTTCACTACTTCGGTAGATATTGGACTTGATGGAAGTGTCTTTAAAACAAACTTAATTGGATTACCCCATGCAAAATAAAATCGTACTCTCCTTAGTACAGATTTCCATCAAGATGCTGGTATGGTTCTTAATCTGAAAAGTCTGATATGTCAACCATTGACTTAACAGCTAGCTATCATCAGGTAGAAGTCAACTGAGCTGACAAGAGATAAAACAGCATTCATCTGTACTTTCGGTACTTTCCGATTCAAAAGAATGCCTTTTGGTTTACAAAAAGCTGTAGCAACGTTCCAACGGCTGATGGATCGTTTCCGCATTGGACATCCATCAGTAAAACTGCTGGTTTACCTAGATGATCTGTTTGTGCTGTTACCTACCTTTGAACAACATATCCAAGATCTGAAAGATGCCTTTTACCGTCTTGACAAATTTCGACTTAGTGCAAACACACAGAAATGTAAATTTGCATGTTCTAAAGTAAAGTATCTAGGACTTCGGATAACATCTGAGGGAATTGAAACAGACACAGATAAAGTAAATGCCATCACCTCCATGCTTTCTCCAAGAAACGTGAAACAAGTTCAGTCGTTTATACAAACATGTTCATGGTATCGAAAATTTATTCCTGGTTTTTCCGAAATTGCCAGACCACTTACCAATTTAACAAAGAAAAATGCCTCTTGGGAATGGGGTGTTGAACAGCAAAAAGCATTTAAAGAACTGAAACAAAGCTTGATTTCTCCTCCGATTCTAAAGCAAGCGGATGAAACTAAACCATTCCTCATACGAACAGACGCTAGTAACTACGCTTTGGGTGCTGTCCTTTTGCAAAACATGGAACTCAAGAACTTCCTGTGGAAAACGCAAGCAGATTGCTGAGTTCTGCTGAAAGGAATTACTCGACAACAGAGCGTGAGGACCATGCTGTCATTTGGGCACTTCAGAAATTCCGGGGATACGTGGAAGGCACCGAAGTCATCAATTCGTCCGAACATCAACCCCTCAGGTGGCTCATGAGTTTAAAATCTCCATCTGGACGACTGGCGAGATGGGTCCTGCAGTGAGTTCAATCTTAAGATAGAATGCCTCCGCGAGAAATCGAACTATGTGGCAGACATGCCTTCAAGACCCATATGCCAATTTTATGAAGTTCTCTGCGAAGCTTCCACTATTTCCGTAGACTTCCCTAAGAAAACACTTAAAGAAATAAGAGAGAAGCAAATGAAAGATGAAGAGCTTAAGAAAATAATTACATGCTTTGAAGATCCAGAAAAAGGAGTGGACTATTCCAATTGGACACAAAGAGGATATATAAGGAAACAAGGAGTATTATTCCGATATTCTCCTGCTGCAGATGCTGAAGAAGCATAGTTGGTAGTACCCTTGCATGAAAGAGCGCAAATTTTAAAATTACACCATGACGCTCCAAGTGCTGGACACTACGGAGTAGAGGGAACAGTAAATAGAATAAATAAACGATACTATTAGACTGGTATGAGATCCTTTATAGCTGACTATGTTAAGAGCTGTATTGAATGCGCCAGATACAAAGCCAGTAATCAAAAACCTTGTGGACTTCTGCAGACACCAATATACAGTCAACGATTTGAAACCTTGGCAATAGATCTCTTTAAACCACTACCCACAACTAAAGGGGGTAAATCCTGGATTTTTATATTGGAAGATTGTTCAACTAAGTGGGTAGAATTATTTTCTCTCACCACAGCCACTGCTAAAGAATGCGCCACTGTTCTCGTGGAAAAGATTTTTCTTCGCTATGGGATTCCTCGAAGAATTATAAATCATAACGGAATTCAGTTCGCCTCTGCTGTCATGCATCAATTTTTGTTTTCTTTTGAAAATAGATCAGAACCTCACACCAGTATATCATCCACAGGCGAACCCTGTAGAGCGGAAAAATGGTGACCTGAAGACACGTCATGCAATACTTGTGGGACAAGACCACACTTCCTGGGCAGAAAAACTTCCTATGATTAGATTCGACATGAACAGTGATGATGTTACGTGTGATTTCGTGCCATCGTCAATAACGATAATTTCGTGCCCGAGATCACTCCCTACCTAAAAATATTAGCCAATATCTCTAATGACATCCGAGATAGAGTTGAATCCAAACAAGATCAGAGAAAGACCTACGCAGATCAAAAGCGTCAAAAATCACCACAGTACGCACCTGGTGATAAAGTATGGGTTACTTTGCATCCTAAGAGCAATGCTGCAAAATCAAAGTCGGGCAAGTTCATGCAAGAGAGATGGACCGTACACCATCCTCACCCAAAGGTACCCAACATCATATGAAGTGACTCACGCTCATAAGCCACATGAACCGTTAGGACAGTATCGTGTCTGCATTGAAAAAGTGTTTTGATGAAAATGCAGTGCCGGTGGCACCTTTACGTAAACGAGGCAGACCAAAGACTCTTAATCCTGACTTTGACGACCCTCAGAAGAAGCAAAAGACCAAAAAGTGCTGGTCCCTCAACGAGACGTTTAATCGGAACCAGAGGGGGAGTGTGACAAACTTTCCTCTTCCCTCCTCCCACTAGTACAGCGCCTCTGGCGGTGAACTAAGACTGGAACTGCCGTAAAATACGGAAGTTTAATTTGGAACCCTTAACCCCTTGTAACTTCTAATGGCTGAGCTTCTTGAAGATTGGATGGAATTGAATTCTTATTCCAAATTAGCCGGAAAATTGGACGATTATGAAAGTTTAAAAAACAGTTTCAAGGAAAAGTCTGTGTCTTATAGTCGAAGTAACCAAGATGATTCTTGGCGATCTCTGAACCAAAGTGATACCAGAACTAAAGAAAAGTTGACTTGGCAGAAAAATAATGTTAAAGAAAATGTTCTCGAAAGAGAATTTGAAAGAAGATAGCTTAGATGCTATGAATGCGGTTCTTATGATCATCTACGCCCTCAATGTCCCAAGGCGAAAACAAATTCAGAAACTGTGGCTTCGCTTCACGTTTCGGAACCAAGGTTTCCTGATATAATGACACCATATACGAGCATTGGCGTGGTAAATGGCGTTGGCATTTCAATACTACGAGACACTGGCGCAACCTTGGATTTAATTCCTAGGAGATTTGTAAAACCTGAAATGTACACGGGTGAATCTGTTTGGATAAAAACTCCAATACAGGAAGAATCATTTTGTTTTCCATTAGCCGTAGTTGAATTAAACTGTAAGTTAGGAAAAGTGGTTACTAAGGCAGCTGTATTAGGTGATTCTCTTGATAAAGGGTATTATTTATTGGGTAACAAAACGGCTGCTCTATTGGAAAATTCGTTTGAAGTCCCAATGATAAGTGCTGTAATGACTCGAAAACAAGAAAAAATGAATGAAAGGAGGGAAGTAGAAAATAAACATAATGTACAGCTCGGCATAGTCGATTCCAATGAACACATCGTTACTTCTGATCAAACGGCGAAAAGCGATGACTTACTCACTGAAAAGATATTACCTTGTAATAAAGAATTTATTGGTACCGAACTGTTAAATATTTCGCCACAAAATTTCCAATAATCCCAAAGAGAAAGTGAAGAGTTTAAAATTATTTTTGAAAAGATTCGTGACTCCAATTTTACTGTTTATTTTCCTTTACTGTTTTATTTTCCTATATACATATAAACAAAACAGTTTTATGTCAACCTATATAGATCAGTTTTGACAAAATTTTATGTATGTTTTTTTGCCATTTCCTACTTTTGCAAAGAAAACTCTATAGAAGGGAGGAGTTAGACTGTAACGTAACAGTGTGTCACAACTGAGCTAAAAGCATCAATTCCTGGAGATGTAATGCTAAAATGATGTTGCTTGAGAGACACACACGAGAAGTGATGTTCTTTTTCGTGTTGTTGAGAAAGAGAGTTTTTTTTCTGAGAAGAGATATTTCTTTTGGGTAATATTTTGTGATTTTTCGTGTGAATGTTTAAATAAATTGTTTGGTACAACTCACGTCTTATTTCTGGTTGTTGTGACACAACACCCTCTTCCAAATTCTTGTATATTTTTTATTCTTATTTTATGTGTTTTGTCCTTTTCAATAAATATTTAGAGTTAGTTAATTTCTGGTCTATCATTATTTATGTGATTTGTAAAAATACAAATAAACCCAGATTTTCCCCTACAAGTTCTTAATTTTCTTCTCATGAAAATAAAATAAATAAAATATTTCTGCCAAAAAAAAAATAATAAATAAATTAGCATGAATTCATTCATAATTAAGGAGACATCAGTTGGTTCAATATAACCATCCAGAGTGCGGGACGAGGACCTTTCTCGTGTTGGCACTTCGCGGTATTTTTAAGTGGGGCGTCGCCACTACATTATTCTAAAGTGGTTTGCATCCACTATGCTCGCTTTTTTCAAGTGGGTCGCCTCCACTAGCCAGTCCTAATTTATAAATTTAAAATCCGTAAGGATGAGTCGAAAAATCAGCTGGGTCAATTACCCTTTTATCATATACCATCCTGAAATTTTTTGTTTCTGCAATATTGACCACTTTTCTATTCTTGGGTTGTGGATAGGAATAGTAACATCTTGATCTAATGAACTTACAAGATGTTTCACTGACTCAAAATTCGATATAGCAGAGTTTCTAGCATTTAAGGGGGGACCCCGCCCTCAGATGGCAAAATATTAACGTTTTTCTTGAATTTTTTTTTAAGTAATAGAGACAATGCAGAGACTCCTTGTTTTTTTAATGTTATTTAGCTACAATTTAAGTCTATTTTAAAAAATTTTCTTTTACAAAATAATAAAATATATGTTGGTGGCAGCTCCGTATGTGGCTGGTCATCAAAAAGTAGCACCTCACTGGCCTCATGGATTTAGAAGTCCTGAAACATAGGAAAACGATTTTGTTTAGATTTTCTGAAACATAAAGACATTATGTAAAAAGTAGCTTAGCGGTTTTTTGATATTCGCAAAATTAATAAAATGGGAGGCAACTTTAAAAAAAAGTTACGTTTTTCATTAAAAAAATATTCATTAAAATACTAATATAAAAATATCAAAGAAATCATACGTTACTTTCTAAAGAACATATTTTTACGCAATTTAAAATAAAGAACAGCTTATTTCGTTGTAAAGATCATGAGAAAAACGTTAGGCCAGGTCAAAAAACAGCGTTTTGAGAAAAACGCGTTTAAAATTTTGACTCGTGTTCAATCTAGTAAAGACTAACCTTTATTCTGCAATTCCAGGTCCATATATCTCTACTTCGACCTCCAGAAAACTGTCCTCGGCGTCTTTTCTAGCAGCGGCAAGCATTTGCCGACCTGTTTTGCTGTTTTTATATTGCTTCACCTCTGCCTTGGCAATTCGTCTCTCATCCAACTGCACTTGATATGAATGGCTGATCGGTCCAATTTCCAGATGCATTAAATGCATCATTAATAAAACACTTTTATAGCCATCGTTGAATGAACAAGGTGCTAAAAAACTAGCAAAATCGATTTGTTTGCCACAAAACTTCGTTTTAAGAAGCAATTGACCAGATGACAAAGTTGAAGCTTTCGTTATTATTTTGATTGAAACTTCCGACGCATAGTTCCAACAAATTATCACTCGAAAGTTCTTCGTATATAGGTTTAATTGCGTCTTGCACGATTTTTGGTAAAGGTTCAGGATGAACATAACTTTTCAACGTCTTGGAATCTTCCGTCAACAGAATGGATGAGACACAAAAAGAATGCCGCCCCTCTTAATCCGGCCGAACGGGCCATTCTACTTGCTTAGCGACGACTCTCTATTTTCCGGTATAATAGGTACCGAGAAATCGTTTTAGACAGACATTACGAAGGGTACAAAGATTCGAAAAATGCAATAAATTTTTTTCTCCAATTTTTGAAATATTCAGGGTGGTGTCCCCCCCTTAGAAAGCCTCTCACTTTACAGCATGTTTTACCACCCCTAGTGGTGTAAGCGTAGTTCTTTGCTCCGCCTGAAAAATAAACACTAATAATAAAAGAACTCATACAAATTAATAATATTTTTACTAAATATATATATTTACCAGACACGAATATAGTGATTACGTCACCATCCAGCTCATCTGTAAATTCTTCCAAGAAATTATCCAAAGGTGGTTCATTATCACCATTAATAGCGTAAATAATTGAGTGTGCATCGTGATACAATACGTTCTCTCCCAACTTATTCATTTCTTCGTACAACTTAAGGTGTGCCCAGGCTGTGGTAAATGTTGCAATAAAGATGTTAGTGGAGGTGATTTGCACTATAAATTCCCTGTGGGATTGCCACTGCAAAGTACCTCGGGCGTAGGGAATTAAACTTCTTTAACCTATAATTGAAGAAAATAAAATAAATTTTTTTTTTAAAGAAACTATGAAACTTATCTCTTTTTCTTTTCATTTAAAATACAATATACCTTCTTGGTAGAATCCGCCATTATCTTATTGAATTTTGGAAGATTGTGGACATAGGTCAAACGGGTTTTGGAGAGATTCATTCCCCTTCTAAAAAATAATTATAAAATATACATTACGTAAAAATAAAAAGAACAAAAAAAGCGAACTATTCCGCACCTTCCCCCAAAAACTATTCAAAATCAATATTGAAATTTGCCTGAGACCAGGATTCATCTCAATTTTGTCGGGGTCCTTGCTTCTCTTCGTAATCTTTAATATATTGCTCTCGTTCTTCTGCTGTATTACACCCTCTAAGCCAACCGCTACTCTCTTGCTTAATTTTTAAAAAGAGATCAATATAAGAGCAGAAAAGTTTATCCGAGCTCTCATTGATGTGATAGACCTTGTAAATCTGCAATAAAAATAGAAAATTACAAAATATAAAAAAATTTAGCTTATTAAAATGAACAACAAAAATATCTACTTTTTCAACTCTATCCTTTATCAACAGCTAATTTCACTTCCTCAGATACCGATTAGAGAGCGCTTCTCGTCTTCGTGGGGGCAACGCAACTTTGTCATACTCACCACACAAGTTCGACAGAGAGGAAACATTAACTTTCCATTACATCTGTAGGGAAGCACAGGCAAAAAGAGACCTCGTGGTGGAACAACTTTGCACTTTATTGTCCCGAAATAATTGGATATATCTTGGAAACTAGATGTAATGATTTCGGGGTGGCCGATTGGGTGTCTGCAGTATTTGTTGACTTGTAAAAACAGTATGTTAAAATATAATAACAATAGAATATTTAACCTATAATTGAAAAAAAATAGCAAAGGTTTTGACTCACCCATGAATGTAATGATGTGAAATCCACATATTTTGCTTCACCTTCAAAAAATAATTTTCAAGCATTCGTCCTTCCTCCGAAAAAGGAATCCCGAGGGTTGAGTCTTTCCTGAATTTCATGATAATCTGCGAACATCCTGAATTCTGCATTTTCTTTCACCATGGCTTTAAATCGGTGCTCGTGATGTCTTGTTCAGCAGCAACAAAATCTAGCCATCTGATCGCATCAGAGCTGTAGTTGGTACTGATGATGTATCCATTAACAGGAACCATCGCTATTGTACCTGATTGCAAATGTCTACTGTAGACAGACGCAGGATGACACAATAGTGATATAACTGGAGAAAAAAAAGTGAGAATCACTCGTTTGGGCTAAATTACTGTACAGATTAAATGAACTAATATAAACCTACCAGAATGGCTCTACACCAGATATTCTAATCATCTCTTCTCTAAATATCGAACAACTTCTCCTCAAAATATCTACTTCAGATCTAAACATAAAACAAAAGGCATTTTTTTCGTTGCATTAAAAAACACAAAAAACAAGTAATAAGTAATCGGTAAATATTAAGACAATTAATTACCTACAATACTCCAACATATCCTTTTGAAAATTGAACTCTTTATCTTTATTTTACTCTTACCAGACAAAAAACTCGGACTTGCTTTTACTGGACATCGTGTCTAGACAAAAGAAAGGCGGTTCAGGAAAAGGACCCTCATATGCCTGATTTTCCCTTCTATTGAATAAGTGTGGAAAATATCCTTTTTTCATCTCAGTAAGGCCAAAGCAAGATGGTAATTTTGAGACTCATCGGGAGGAAATTAATCGAATCGATGACACTGATGCTCAAAGTAGAATATCTAATGCTCATAACTTTAGCTCCATTTGGGATAACATCGGGTGTTAATTCTTGTTCCAGCAGCCACGCCATAATAAAATGTATAATTTTTTTTTAAAATTTTCATATGAAATCATCTTACCCTTTCATATTGTGAGCAATGGCTGTGAACTGTTTATAAAGAGGGGAGAACAGCCATGAACAAAACTCCTGCAGCGCTGAGTACCCTTTAAAAACTCTCTCGTCACCGTTAAAGAACTGTGCAACAGCATTATTAACTAAATGCTCTCCTGAGCTCTGGTCAGTCTCGAAATCAAAATAAATTATTTCCTCCGATGGCCTCTTCGCATCAATTTTGCACAGGTGACATAAGTCACAAATTCGCCACATGATCCACACATCGATGGAGCTCGCGAGGGCATATCTTCCGCAGAATTAGTTTTGAACACTGAGGGCATTGGTATAGCTAAAGTAAAATTGAATAAAATTTAAACAGAATATTAAAAGCATTTAAACCAAATTATAAAAAAAAATACATACTTTATCACAAATTGGAAACTTTTGCAGGTTCTCTTTCGCTTTGTTAGTTAGATAGTTATTTAGTGTTTTTGGCGCAAGAGCCAGAAATGGCTATACCGCACCATGAACTTGGTCTAAAAAACGAGTGCTTGGTTTAAATAAAAGGTAAAATTAAATTGAGTTATAAAATCCAATGTCCTTAAGGTACAACAGAAGATTATAGTGTGGTTTATCGCCAATAAGTAAATGTAAAGTAGGATTATTGTAGCCAAAATAGCGTTGTCTTAGAAATTTAAATTTATTGCACTGGATCAGAGCGTGTTTAACAGTTAATGGTTCATTGCAGCTAGAGCAATCTGGTGCAGGTTCACTTAGTAAGAGATGTCTATGTGTAATACGTGTATGACCAATGCGCNCTGCAAATGGGACAGATGGTGTAACAATAGTGATTCTCTTCGTGGTCATAGAGTTTTTCACACTCTTCGTAGTGAAAGTTTGATGCATAAAACCCCTTGAGATAAGTGATAACCTCATAGTGGTCGTCATGTAACTATAAATTTATTCGCTTTCTACGTGGAATTTCACTTTTGTATGACATCTAAAAATAACAACAAAAAATATATAGTAAAATAATACTAAGATATGAAAAATCGTGAATACCAAAAATAAAATAACGTTCAGGTGTTAATTTTTGTAACGGTAATAAATACATAAAATAAGAAAAAACTGTTACATATTATTTGTATTTAATATATTTGAAATCATATTATATCTAACAGTTTAAATAAAAAATTAGCCTCTGGAATTAAGATTTAGTAGTTTAAAAAAATTAAATAAACATTATTCATAATTTATACCAGTGACTACGGCCCGAGGGCCAAGTCCGGCCCGTTTAAGAGTGCCGTCGTGAGAATGTTTGAACGCGTGGCCGCCCGAAGATCAGTTAGTTAGCGACTTAGTCAGTCATCTGCAACGACCCGCTGTGACTGGAGTAATTGTTTGTGTAATCCCCGAAACTCCCACTGCCTCAATAGTCCGTGGGCCGAAGACTCAAAAGCAGTTCTAAACTTATTTTCGCTCCTACACTCGAATGGCAATTTTAATCTTCCAAAATAGAACTCAATCTTGCCTGGGAAATATAAATTCACGAAGTTCTCCAAAATATAATAGGCCATTAATTGACAGTTATCAAAATATTGAAGAACTATTTTAATTTCATGAATACAGAATTTTGCCCATGAATATCCAAAGAGGAGGGTACTGTGACGTCACATGAAAATGAATTGACCAATCACAACCAAAAAGCTTCGAGATTTGCGTCTGCTCTAGTTCTTGTTTCCTTTGCTTCAAACTGCTTTACAATTTTTGTATAAACGTTATAAAAGTTTAATAAAATTATAATTTCATTTTAAGAGGACCCGCGCAAGAGCATTAGTTAGCAGTAAGCTTTCGTCAATTGCGTTTCTGTGTGTTGTTCTCCGGAGTAGGTAACGTCTAAAATGGATGTTAAAAAAAGAAAAGTGGATTCAGAATGTCGAGTTTTTAAAAGAAGAATGGACGTGGAAATATTTCTTTACTTTATTTAAAGAAAAACCTGTGTGCTAACTTTGCAATACAACTGTTGCAGTTTTAAAAGAATATAACATTCAACGCCATTTCAAGAGCAAACATGAAAACCACTCCTATTCATCGTTAAGTGAAGAGGTGAAAAAAATTAAATCGAAAGATTTATTAAAAAATTTATCAAGTCAACAACAATTATTTCAGAGAGCTAATCATTCTCAAAGATGTTGAGGCACGTGGGGTACAACGTGCCCAAAAAGAAGAAAATAAGTTTTTAAATAAAATAATGTGAAATCACCAGCTAGCCATAATATTTAAGTTTAATTTAATATTTAAAGAAGGTTACATAATAATTAGTTAATTAGTAATAAACACAGAAATGGTAGAGTACGGCACATCGCCAACGACATTCACTTAGCCATATGTAAAGCAGACTGCGAGGGAAGAAATGTTTTGCATGCCAAGGTTGCCACAGTCAAGTCCTCCGCCAAACGGCGGTCTTATCTTAAGCGTTACTGCCCATTTGGCGGTGCCGCCGCAATGTGCTACGAAAGCCAGTTATGTGTTGGCTTATAATATTGCTAAATCTAATAAAGCATTTTCAGATGGTGAATTTATAAAGCAGTGCATGATAGATGTGTGCGATATTATGTGCCCTGAAAAGAAAAATGATTTTCAGTCACTGTCTCTCTCAAGAAGAACAATCACCGAGAGAAATGAAAATATTGATAAAAATCTAATTTCACAATTGACTACAAAAACTCAAAAATTTATTTTTTATTCAATTATCATGGATGAAAGTACAGCGATACTGCACAGTTACTCATATTTGTAAGAGGAATCAACGCCCACTTTGAAATTACAGAAGAACTTGCAGGGCTGCAACAATGAAAGGAACAACGACTGGTGCCGATATATTTCGTGAATTTGAAAATTGTATCGATAAACTTCGTTTACCTATTGATAAGTTATGTAATGTAACTACAGATGGTGCTCCTAATATGGTTGGAATCAATCAAGGATTTGTTAGGAAATTTAATTCTAAGTATCCGGAAAATGATGTTGTTTTTTTTCATTGGGATACATCAGGATGCTCTCTGTAAATCGGCTTTAGATATTGACCATATACTTAATATTGTTGTAAAACTAGTAAATATGATTCGTTCCAGAGGATTATTACATCGCCAGTTTCAACAGTTTTTGGAGTCCGTACATGCTGAGCATTCCGATATCCTGTATTATTCAAAAGTTCGATGGTTAAGTGCTGGAAAAGTATTTGAAAGAATTTGGGATTTAAAAGACGATATTGTGAATTTTCTTCTTGATAAAGACATTTATAATCAATTTGACGTCTTAGAAAACGAAACGTGGCTTTCTGATTTGGTTTTTTTTTACAGACCTCCTCGTACACATGAATATACTTAATCTCAAATTGCAAGGGAAAAATTAGTTTCTTCACGATATTTGGCAATACCTGAAAACCAGACTACGATCAAAGAAAGCACCCCACTTATTAGATATTATTGATGGTGACACATGTCACACAGCTAATTACTGTGCAAAAAAATTTGCTTCATGTTTTGATAGATACTTAGGAGATTTGTTTGATGACATCTATTTTGATATGAAAAGCTGCAGTAAAAGAGAAATTTTTTTTCAAAATCTGTGAATCCCTTGCCATTAAAAAACTTAAGCCCTTGAAGAGACCAGACCATAGGTGGGTGTACATTTTATGTGTTTTAGAAAGAATCAAAGATCTGTGGGATGCTCTTATTGCATTTTATTTTCACTACTTGGATAAAACTGATAAAGGGGATTATTTTTCTTATGTTGAAACTGTATACAATAAAAGAAATATATCTGCAGCTCAGAATAAAATTGTTGAAGGGGTGTATTCTTGCTTGCATTCCCAACACCTCACAAAGGATGCTTTAGCTCGGAAAAAAAGAATACTAAATGGGTTATTTGTTATGCAAAACAAAACTTTATTGAATATGGCATTATATTCAGCAGTATTACCAGAGTTCAACACATATATTAAATTATTTGAAACAAAAAAACCAATGCTTCATTTAATACATTCCAGTATTTATAAATTGATGGCAAAATTTTTCTCTTTTTNTCATTGCAGCTAGAGCAATCTGGTGCAGGTTCACTTAGTAAGAGATGTCTATGTGTAATACGTGTATGACCAATGCGCAAACGATTCAATATAACTTCGTATTTTCTCGGCAAACTTTGTTTCATTACTGGTTCTATATTTGGTATAAGACTGTGTAATTTGTTATTTGTCTCCTCATTCCAACTTTTTTGCCATTCGAACTGTAGTGTAAAATTAATCGCATTTCTAATATCTGAATATGATAATGGTCGAACTGAAAGGTTTTGGGTCAATTTAGCAAATTCGTCAGCCTTTTCATTACCCAGAATGCCACAGTGCCCAGGAATCCACGATAACATCACAGAATAACCCAGACTTTGTAAATTTTCATAAGTATAAACAACATTAATTATGATTGAATGAGACCTGTGGGAAATATTGTTTAATGCTGCCAGACAACTTTTAGAATCGGTATAAATGTACCATTTTTTGTGTGTTTGGGTAAGGATAAATTGTAGAGCTAATAAGATGGCGTGAGCTTCGCATGTAAAAACTGAACAAGATGGATGCAGTTTTTCAGTGATGATTTCGTTCGGCGTGACCACTGCAGATGCTGTATGACCGTCATTTTTCGAGCCATCAGTGAAAATAGGGTTAAAATCCTGATACTGTTCACGATGTGAATTAAACATTTGTCGGTACATTAAAGTAGATGTTTCTTGTTTTGTCCCGATCTCTTTCGCTTTATGAGATACAAAACTTTGTTCGGATCTAATAAACGATCGCAATCATGACATCTTCTAGGGTTGTCAGATGGCGTCACAGTAGTGATTCTCTTCGTGGTCATAGGGGTTTTCACACCCTTCGCAGTAAAAGTTTGATGCATAAAAACCCCTTGAGGGAAGTGATAAACTCATAGTGGTCGTCATGTAACCATGAATTTATTCGCTTTCTACGTGGAATCCCACTTTTGTATAACCTCTAAAAATAACAACACAAAATAAACTAAAAATAATACTAAGATATGAAAAATCGTGAATACCGAAAATAAAATATTTCAATCAAATTAAAATTACGTTCACGTGTTAATTTTTGTAACGGTAATAAATACATAAAATAAGAAAAACTGTTACATATTAATTGTATTTAATATATTTGAAGTCATTTTATATCTGACAGTTTAAGTAAAAAATTAGCCTCTGGAATTAAGATTTAGTAATTTAAAAAATAAAATAAACATTATTCATATTTTATATGATTAAAAGACGTAAATATACAAATGATAAATGAATTAGATTACTAATTAAAACTATCTTGTTTAATTAGAGATACAAGTTAACATGGTTCGAAAGTCAGGTGAATAAAGTAATAATAATAAAATAAAAAACTTACCCTGTTTGAATTTGTTGTGGCACAATTTGTGTATCAAGATAACTTTCGAACAATACTATTTCGCGATACGTGCACGGTCCTATGGGCACTCCAGCGTCTTCGTGCAACTTCCCCGCACGATTCAACAGGGCTTGTCCTTTAAGGCATTTAGGGCCTTCTGGTTTTTTTCAACGTGTGCTATTGCCCTTATAATTACCTTTGCACAACAAAGCCCTTCGTCTTTGAAATCTATGCTGATTATCGATTTTTTTCTAAGTCTGTCGACATCTACATTAATGACTCTCATGTAACGCCCAGCTCCAACATCACGCCTTACCGTGATCGCATCTACCAAAAACCCTGCCTCCAATTTTATATTGTCTTTTGATGGAAGAACTTTCATCACAATAGATAATAACCGCTCCAAAGTAAAATCAGACACCTTCATCAGGCTTGTAGATATAGGTCTATCCAATCCATCTGCTTGTATCGTAAGTGCTCGAGATCTGTAGGCCGTAAGTTTTCAAATGTTCTTTCCATTAGTATCGTGAATAATTCCCTAACAGCTTCCTTTGCAGTAATCAATGGTTTATCCCGCAAATCATGTGGCAACCGATCAACATCAATTCTGGCTCTGTAAATAATTTCATTTGCTTGATATCTTTGATATTGTCGTTGCTGAAGAGGCTCCAATATGATAGCATTATTCAGCTAAAAAATAAAAATTAACATTAGGCTTTATATTAAAAACCTTTTTAAAGTTTCTCCTGGATTATTCTAAGAAAAATTGCATAATTAATACATGTTTATAACTTAGTATTTCATAATTTATTATATATTTAAAATATTATTCACCTGCAAATCGGACACACGTTGATGCAGAACGGAAGACCCGTGAAAAAATTTCAGAGCATCAAGTCTATGAATTTCTTGTGAGGTATCCAAGAAACTTTGAGTAAGAGTATCCCTGAACTAATATAAAAATAATAATAAATTGCTTTTAAACTAACTAGGAAAATTTAAATAAGAATTAAAATCAACTTTTTAAAAAATGCACACCAAATAATCATCACTATCACTTAGCGCAATATTTTCATCTTCGAACAGCGTTCTAGATGACCAGTCGTCAGCTTCGACAAACAACTATAAAAAATAGAGAACGATACACTCATTTCTAATTAAAATAAATAAATCAAACATCTAATAATTTTTAAAAAATTATGTCATCAAAAAATTCATCAAATGTAAAAGATTTCAAGCACACAGAATTGAGATTGAACCAGACATATCACCTGAAGACAGAGTTAGAGATGCAGCGATATTTGAGATTATTGGGGTAGATCTTGCGGGCCCTCTCTATCTCTCTAATAAATCTAAAGCCTGGATTGTACTGTACACTTGCGCCGTCTATCGCGCAATTCATCTGGAACTTGCGAAACTTTCCTTCTACCTTTAAGGCTATTCATTTCGAGACGTGGCAGACTTTACGTTGTTTATTGTGATAACGGCACTAATTTCGTTGGTGCCATCAAACTTCTAGAAAAGTTAAATTGGAAAGAAATAAGTGTTGCTACATTAAAGTGACCACACGTCCCGATTCCGGCGGGACAGTCCCGCTTTCTGGTGGACTGTCCCGTGTCCCGCCGATTTTTAAAAATGTCCCGCTTTTTAGAAAATATCTGCATTTCTTATTTTAAATGTACTGTAAAAATATATACCTATTATTTATTAAGTATTATGGTGAATATAAAGAAATAAAAAATACATAAAAAACACATAAAATGCGTGCAGAGTAAACTAAATTAGGCAATGTACCAAGTTAGATTTACTCGGTGGTGTGCGATCATTGTCTTTACGTCTCGGCTTAATTCAGATAAGTGCGGACTGCCGTTAGACAGTGCGGTTTGTTGTTTTCAATTTGACGTTCGGTTTGACTCATTATTTGATTGACAAAGGTTGAGCAATAGTCGCCACAAAGTAACGGTCAATAAGGTAAAATTTAATACTCTTTTTTAGCCTTTGTAATAATTTTTTTATTTATTTCTAGTATTTACCCACAAAATAAAAGATGAGTAAAAAAAGAGGATGCAAATTTAATGAAGAGCTAAGCAGAGAATTTCCATTTATTAAAAGTACCAAAATAGACTATATGGTACTGTGTGATAAACGCAATGCTGAATTTTCGGTCTCACATGGTGGAAAAAACGATATTACTAAACATCTAGCGACAAAGAGGCACAAAAGATTTTTTAATAATGCCGCTTCCTCATCTAAAATGGAACAGTTTTTTCGCAGTGCTAGCTTTAGCAACACGGAAAAACAGCTAGCATTAGCGGAAGGGCTATTTGCTTTCCGCACCATAAACCACAATCAAAGTTTCAGATCAATGGATTGTACGTCGCAAGTGATCAAAACATTATACGACAAAAAATATGCATGTGCAAGGACAAAAACCGAAGCAATTATTTGTAATGTTTTTTCACCATATTCGTTTTCACAATTGCAGAAAGAATTAGAAAAATGCGCATTTATATCCATATATTCTGATGCTTCCAACCACAAAGATTTAAAATTATTTCCCACAGGTGTTAGATTTTTTGATCCAGAAACAGGAATTAAAATTAGAATATTAGATTTTGTTTCATTGCCTGATGAAACTTCACAAATAATTTTTGATTTAATAAGTACTATTTTAAAAAAGAATAATTTAAACAATAAAATTATTGCCCATTGTGCGGATAACACTAACGTAAATTTTGGTGGAAAAACTAAAAGAGGCATCAATAACGTTTTTACGAAACTTAACGAACATTTGAAGCAAAAATATATTGGAGTAGGTTGTGCGGCGCACATTCTATACCTATACTATTCAAACAGCATTTGACTTACTTCCAGTTGATGTTGAAAATATTATTGCAACATTTATTCGTATTTTTGTGTATATATTGTGCGTGTTGAAAGTTTGACTAAATTGTAATTCTCATTTCATCCCATTTGTCCCGCTTTGTCTCAATAAAAATGTGGTCACTTTATGCTACATCCACACAAAAGATCCGATTCAAGTTCAATCCACCTACTGCTGCTTGATGGGAGGTTGGTGGGCGACTAGTACGCATGGTCAAAGAAATCTTAAGAAAAGTACTAGGTCGCACCTCTTTGAATTATGAAGAACTGAACACAATTCTTTGTGATTCTGAGCAAGTCATCAATTCCCGTCCTATCACCTATGTATCTGAAGATAACCATCACCCTTGACACCCATGATATTCTTGCAAGATTTGCCTTCCTCTGGAGTTCCTGATATCGACAACATTGATTTTAAAGGATAAATAAAAGAGACAACTATCGTCAGATAATTAGAGATGATCTTCGAAAAAGATTTCGAATTGAGTACTTAGGTCAACTACGATATCAAACCTCAAGAGACAACAAGTTTGATCAACTTACTGTTGATGACGTAGTTTTGATTGAAGACATCAGCAAGCGTCGAATCCATTGGACATTAGCTAAGATCCTTGAACTGTTGTCTGGAAAAGACAAAGTTGTGAGATTTGCCAAAGTTAAAACTGAAAATGGAACATTTCTAAGACCTTTACAACGCTTGTTTCCTCTTAAGATAAGTGAACCAAACACTAATCCATCTCCCTTTCCAGCTTCTTCCTTTACAGATTCTCCTAGCAGTTCCTCTGAATCAATGCAACCTGCTGCCAGTGTATCCAGAGCCGTACCCCATGTATCCAGATACGGCAGAACCATCAAACCCATTGACACATAAGATTTATTTTCGGTCAGTAAACAAATCGGTGGGGAGAATGTTACAGCCTCATCGAAAGATGCCCCTAGCGGCAGAATACGAATAAGACTCAATAACTTTTAAGAACAGTTTTTAATGTGAACGGTCACTTGATACAGCGCTTTTCTCTTTTTGTTACTCATATACATTTGTTGTTCATCATTTATCGTTATTTTTATTAAATTACACTAAAATGTCAATTAGCTTGGTCTTCATTCGTACTTAGATATTTATTATTGAATATATTGTTTCTGCCACACCCGGTAAAAGAATCTATGGTTGACGTTACCGCTTCGAATATTATTAAGAACAGCAAGGTAAGTGAAACCTTGTTATTTTATTTGTTTGTTTGGAAGTAGTTACGCCATGCCACAGCTTCGGTGCAATTGTTAGAGGATTTACTGATCAGCGGTTGAAAATCTAACATATTTTTTGCCGCTTTTTCACACTTTCATTTACGTTCTGCTCTGCATCAACTGGCGCTCGAGGATCATCAACATCAAGGCACGATTAATACTTCTTTTCAATGGTTTGCTTGAAGTGTTCGATTCCCAAAATTTCTAAG